GACCAGACTAAAACAAACTCATGAAGTCAGTGGAAAATACACAGTGGGAATGAAATTGTGGTAATATTACATTCCTGCATTGTGAATAACACCACATATGAATTTGCAGTATATTGACCTACAGGACAAGTTATTGCAACATCAAAGTTCCAGAAAAGAATACTAAAATGACCTAATAGAAGGTTAAGGTAAAGCTTTATAAATAGTAAATTAGAAAATTCACCACATTCACGAAACAAATCCTTTCTACAACATGTTTAATGTCTAATGTACCTGGTAATGGCAGTGTTTCATCATTATAATTTTTGGTAATTTTGTGGTAATTTAATAAATTATTTTGGCAGAACATAGTCTTGATTACGGCCTGGAGAACACTGAGGTTGAATACTGGTAAGATGTACAAATTGCAAAATTCAAATAAATAGTCGAAACCAAGTCCATGTAACATTTTCCTTTCAAACCTAACAGACAAAACAATGGGGGTCAGAGAGAAAATGCATCGACACTATACATAGCTTTCAATCGTCACACTCCCTAAAGACCCCAAAAGTAATCCCTACTAATTTATATCCATGGCCACTTTGAAGTTATTTTCTTTGAAGCACATAAATAAGTAAATTGGTAATTCCTGAGTGGGCTTGTTAGACTGCATGTTAACACTGAGTAAAAATCTCTATTTAGAGCTAAAATATAATCAGAACAAAAAGACAAATCTGTGTAAACAGGAAAACGGCAATTACAGCAACATCGCCACAAAACTAAAACCAAGTGTTCTTATATTCCTATATTCTTCCTACATTCCCAATAGTAAAAAATTAAGTTGGTACATGTACATTATACAATTTAACCTTTTGGTAGCTTAGAGGGGTTCTAGGGATTTTCACACACCCAATACTTTACCTACCATCTTTACTCGTATGTTTCTTTTCGTGGAGAACAGTGGCTTCTGACAGTTACAGTGGATTCCTATTATGACAAGATTTTCCCGCAGAGAAGAATATTCAAATGTCAATAGACAACCCGTTCTCACTACCAATGCATCAAATACTGCAGCTTGGTTAGTGCTCTTCAGCGCCTGACACCTATGCACATAGGCACCTTTTAGTGTGCATAGCACACCTGCGTCTTTATTACACACTCAGAGCAATTGACGTAGTTTAAAGTGCGAGATAGTCCACACAGGTAGGGTCAAACAACTTTCGTTCCAGTACATCGCTATGTGTGTCCTGTGTGAAAGTAAATATCGACATTTTGTCAAGTCAGTCGTTAGTCGTGACTCGAAAGTCACTCCCTAGTCACATGACTTGTAAGTCATTGAATGTCAAGCTCACTATTTTACTGAACCTAACAAGTGGTTTTGTTGCCTGTTCAAAATCTTAATAACAAGAAATTAAGTGCAAATTCAACCCACTGAGACAATTTCAGCATGCCCATCAGTAGCCAGTCCATCATGCTGTACGGAAGCTCCTGCGGCTCTTTCGCGCACACTCACCTGTTTCCCATCACAGCCTAATGGTGAGTTTATTGTATTCCGTCAGCCTAAATACCCCCAGATTTGCTTTTCATTCACTTACATTGAAAACAGCTTTGTCTACAGCTGCTATTAGCAACACATAGCTGAATTCCTGTGGCAGGAGCCAAAAGGAAAAGCTAATACTTCTTTTAAAAATGTTTCTATAACCACAGACAGTTGTCCGACAAGTCCAAAATTGGTTGTTTGTGAGTGCCTTCAAAAAAACTGTTTTAACATAAGAGTCAACCCAAATAACCCCAATGATTTTACTATATTTCTTCCAATACTAAATTAAGAAATATGCACTTATGTGAAATCATTTTGAAGTTGTGTCATGAACACAGAAAGTTTCCTCCCGTCTTTGTCAGGTTACTTTTCTTTCTTACTGTTTTGGTTACAAACTCAGTCTCTCTGTGATATCAGCCAATCCTACAGAGTCTCTGCCTCCGACTTATTAAATACACAGCTGACATTTTTTTGAGATAACACTGCATGACTGAATGAAGTGCGTGTAATAAAGACATCTACATACAGAACAACTGGCAAGCAACTGTGGTTTAATAATAAAATGATACATAACAAAGTGCATTTATTAAACCTGAGAAACAATGGCGGTCATCCAGCTACAGGCCCTCCGTTCCTTTGCCGGCCTGCATTTCAACAGGAATGAAGGGGCGGGTTGTATGCCAAATTGTCCAGGAGTGCGAAGCCACGTGTACAATCATCCATCCCTTTACTCCCTTTATTCTCTCCACATCCTCCTGTCTGTCCTTCCCTATCCCCTTGCCTCTTTCTCCATGCCTAGCTATGTATTATAAATTCATCTGCAGATAGAGCAGATCTATCATTCTGTCATGGAGGCAGGGAGGGGAGGTAGACTGTGGAATGCCCTGGCACTGAGAGCAGGGAAGGGCGCTGAGCGTAGTTGCTATGCCTCCTCGCACATTCCCTGCTGCGCCTGCTCTCACCCTCTCCGGCTCAGCCTGCATGTCTGTTTTGATGATCCATGCAATGCCGATGCAGCCCCCTTTTTCCACTCCTGTCTCACCTGTACCAACCAAACCCACCCAAGCCATCGGAGCGCCAACCAAGCAGCCCAGAACTGCAATAACACAATGCCTGACTTAACAGGAAATCCCCTGGACTGGCTTGACTGACTCCCAGCTCTGAGTCTCCAGTTTCACCGAATAACACCCTGCTTGCCAATCAGATAGGAGATAAATTACAGGACATGTCCACAACGCTGTAGACACAACTCTAGGGTCCAGAATCATTGTTCTAAGTTGAGCCAAAATACCTGGATTGACTCAAATGATACCGCTGACACATTTATTAGCATCTGGAATAATGAGGCAGCAGGCTGAAATACCGCAGTGTGAGTGAATGTGTATGTGTGCACATGTTGTGTTTGTGACATGTATTCTACATGTTGGCTACATGTACTTATCTTCATATATAATATACTATCTTACTAAAGACCAGTGTTTATGTTTGGCTCTCAGCCATGACATATGCAGCCACAGCTGACTCTTAACACACTCTCCTACTGTTGTGGTAAATTAAAAGTGGGACCTGATGTATATTCACAATGTATGGGCGTCCATAACTGTGAACAGTGTAGCATTTGTTTATGACCGAGGGATGTGAGATAATGCGTTGCTTTTAGCATAAACATTTGAACTCTCTTCTTCTTCTTCTGAGTTTTGGTTGAAGTGAGTTGACACGTTACGTTGCCTTTAAATCAACACTATGGGTTTTTTTTATCAACTTGTTATCAAATGTTTAATGCTAAACATCTCTGCATAACATTCACTGGCAACATATTTTCATTTGTTTTACCGCTCATGTTAACGAAAACATGATAATTACTTTATGGTTATCTTTTGGGGAAAAGGGTCTTGGTTACAGTTTACATAAAAAAAGAGCATTGGACAATAGCACAATGGTTCAAGGGATGGCAATGTTGGTTGGTGCATTGGTCGGTCATTTCACCAATTTTGTCAGATCAGAAGTATCTCAACTATGTACTGCCATCAAACCTTGTGCATACATGGTCTCCAGAGGATGAATCCTACTGATTTAAGAATCCCCTGACTTTTCCTCTAGCACCGCCGAGATATCAACATTTGTGGTTCTGAATGAAATGGCTTAAAATCTATTGTACTGACTCCCATGAAAAGTGGCATAAACATCCAAGCCCTCCTAAGGATGAATTGTGTCAACTTTATTCCTTGACCCTTCATTCAGCATCATCATCAGGTCAACATTTTAGTTTGTCCAATTCTTTGGTTAATTTCCAAATACCTGCAAAAGTATCGTAATTCTTATAAGCTCCAGCTGTACTTTGTTTTTAAACACGATACCTGGCATAACTAACAGCTTCACAAACTGCTGGAGTGGCTGTAGCTTAGTTTTGCTCAAAATGAAACTAAAACCACAAACCACCCTGACTTAGTGATGCTGTTGCTTAAAACAAACCACCCGTGTGACTCAGGACTCAAACCAGTCTCTGGTGTCGAAGTCTCATCATCCACTTTGCTCAATTCATTTAGAAAGAAACATCATTTTCGACAACATTATAATCACTGGCGTTCTTGTACAGCAGCATTTCAACTAAATTTGTAAGTTGGTTGACACATAACGTGACAAAAAAATCAAAAATCAAACTCACTCATTGAAACTCGAGCCATTTCGTTGCAGTCTAGTGACACTATAGACATTCTCATCAGCTGTGCCTTTGAGCATCAGGAAAACATTTCTTGCCACAATGAATATGCAGCGACCCAGTCCATTCTATTTCCCTCCTCCTCTTTCCATCTTCTCCACTGTTTGATCACCCCCCCCCACCACCACCACCACCCCTCCCCACTGCGATAGAGAGAGGGGGGGTCTGCATAGTGGGAGTGTGTTGTCCCAGTGCCAGGGCAAAAATAGACAGTAAATTACAGAGCCTTCTGAGAACACCCCACTGTGCTGCATGACCTCAAAATAACACAGAGACGTATACTCGCAGACTCGTATATACAACATGATATACAGTGTGCTGCCCTACTTCTCCATTTCCTATTCAGCCTGTTGATGTGACGATCACACGCAGACTTTAGCAATGTGCCAGCTGACAGTCCTGCGCTAATGTTATGTGCCAGTGAAGGAAACTCTGAGTCTGATTCACAGATGTTAATGCCATTACTGCCTCATCTCAGCTTACCAAGACACACACACACACACTCTAAAAAAGTATTTATACACATATGTATCTACCCCACTGCCATGGCCTAACCTTGTGTCTAAAAAGAAGACACCCCTGCATCAAGCCCTGAATCCCCAACCACACCTTCTCTTATGGTCTAACAAGATCTGGCATACCCAAAAACCCCGAAATAGAACTTAAAACATCCTGAAGATGATGCTCGTCAACACAAAAAACAAAAAAGTAGAGAAGCCAGGGCAGTGATGAATGAATATCACAGGTGTTTGCAATACTCACCTTGAGTGAGTCAAAACAAGCAATGACTCTGCCGTTTTCCACTTGACAGCTCTTGGCAGGGTGGGCGAACTTGCACTCGCTGTCCGGTCGTGAACACGTTCCTCTCTGGAATTCCCGACAAACCTCCAACGTCAGCCACTTTGTGTCCCGGATCTGCGTCATGTTCAGCGCCATTTTGAACCGGGCAGGAGGGGGCGATTAAGAGGAATATATATCCAGCAAATGCAATTATGCGTGTCTGCGCTGTATGTCTTTAATGACACTGGGGCAAATGATGAGAAAGAATAGGTAATGGACATGGGAAAAAGCTAGTTTTAACAGTTTTTTGACGCGTCCCCAGGATATGATTCTGTGAGGCCTGGGACTCGCCTACCACCTGCGGCCCATCCTAAGAGTCTGTTTGTGGCTGTAACAGGAATCCTTCACCGCCTGTCACCAAGAGCCTGGCTGGTGACGGCCACAGGGGCCTGCTTTGTAATCTTGTTCTCTCAAACACACACACACACACACCAGTTCCGGCTATCGCCTCGCTCCTCGGCTGAACTGTCAGATGAGATGAATGGCAAAACACATTATCGATTGAGCCGACCCATGATAAAAAGATGCAGGTCTGCAGGAGAGGAGGAAGGAGGAGAAAGACGAACCGAAGGGACGAGGAAGAAGGCTGTGGTGGACAGGACAGCACAGAGACTCCTTCCGCTCACAGGAGCCGAGAAAAGCTGTCTTCAGTATCGAGCTCTGTCTGCAGATGAGGGGGGAGTGGTTGACTTCCACGGAGGAGAGCTGTGTGGCATGGATGGAGAGAAGTCTGGCTGGACAGAGCAGGAGATGGAGGGAAGGAGGAAGGTGTCAGTGGTGTGGAGACTGGCTAAGTGGACGGGTTTGGCGGTCCTGGGGCTTCTGGTGTGGCTGGCAACTCCGGTAGACATGGACAGGCACAGAGGCAGAGGCGCAGCCACAGGGGTCACCGAAAGAAGGCACTTCTCTCTGTGGAGGAGGGAAGAGTGTCAGTGGAGCAGGGCTTAACACACTGACACACACACACACACAAACGCACTCGCCGAGGTTAATACACTCACATTTGGATTCATACACACAGCTTCATTCTCCTGCAAATTCTCTCTCACGGTAGCCCTCACGGAGACCGCCAGACCCTCAGCGATATGGCCGTTTGATTTGATTTCCCAGCTAACGGTAAAGCTGACACATTCAGGCAAAGGCAACGTTTCAAAGGATGACAGTGAAGAAGAGAGAGATCAAGAGACAGAGAAAAAAAAAAGATGAAAGAAAGTGGGAAGAATTTGGTGTATGCATGTCTGTTTGTGTCCCAAAGAGGTGACCCAGAAGGATGGATGATTGTCGAAGTTTTAATATACACACAGTACTTATATTGATAATTAATGTTAATTCTGACTATAGTTCATAATAATCCAATTTCTTTGTGTAATAATACAATAGTAATTACTTTTGAATGATTATTGTAATTTGCACAGATCAGCCTTTAAAAACATAAACACTATTACAGACTTTTACACATTCATAAGGAATTCTCAATCTCTATAATACATGTCGAAATGAGCCATAATTTCAAAGAACAACCTTTCCCGATAGATTACACTGTACCCTTTTCATAGGCATCGATGACAAATGAGCAAGTGTTTGAGTATCAAAGTATTGATTCATGAGTTATCAATTTGCACATCTCTGGTGAGATTGGAAATGGCCAAGCAACTGGCTAGATGGTTCCAGCATCGCTGCTGGCAGGTGGCCATGCGAGACGAGAGAGACGAGGACTAGATAAGGTCACTAGAGAAACAAAGAAAAGAATGTGACATATCTCTGTTTTTGTTTATTTTCTCTCTCGCCACATGCATTGCTGGATGCTCCATAAATCCACTCATCCAAACACTTGCTGTTCACATCCGTATGTTGAAAGAACACACTGCCCCCCAAATACAGCTGCTATGCTTACAGTGAGTGCCCTTAACCCTGCATCCCACATGTGGTTACGTCACTCCCAAATCCCCCACACTCAGATGAAATGCCTTTATGAGTATTCTGATATGCTCTGCACTGATATGACGTTTGTATAAAGCAACCATCCAGACAAACGTTTGTGCGCATGACTTCAATAAAAATACTTTATTTAGAGTAACCCCCCTGCCTCTCAAGTATCCCTGTTGTTCATACAGTAGCCCTATCCTTAAACATGCAGGTTGAGGAATATGTTACTGTGAGCAGACAGCTGTATGTCCTAATTATGTTCAGATCTGCCATTGTCAGAAGCCTAGCAGAAGTTAAGATTTTGGTCGGAGTCAAAATCAGAACGTCCTGCTATTTGTCTATATTGTTTGTTTATGTGGTGATGGAAAGCACCAACATCTACTGTCAGCTGTCTAAGACTTTCATAGAATATATAACATGTATATGACGAATACCAACAATGATGAATGATGTTGAATAAGTTGATTACATTCAGTGGTTGCTGTTTGGTTGCATTTGGTCGCAAAAGCAATTTACAGCTATTTGTCAGAAATAAAAACCCTGAAACACAGATTGATGATATTTAACAGTGATAGGGATTAATATGTGATCTGGAATCACTAGGCTACTGCAATAAAAACATTTAAAAAGTGATGGTTTTGAAGAAAGAGGAGCATGAAAAAATAGAGAAGCCAGCGAGGAATGAAGGAAACGAATACAGTAAAAATATTCCCTTGGTTAAACATTGATTATGTTTCATGCTCTCTTCTCCTATTTGGACTGGTCACATCTGTGGTGAGCTACTTTTTCAGCCCAAAGCTTATATCTTGGGCAGTGTGTCTGTGTGTGTGTGTATGTGGGCAAGAAAGAGGCCAGGGCAGCCCACTGCATCTGGCAGGAAAAATGTGGTAAGGACAGAGAATACAGAGAGGGCTAACATTACCAGTGCATGAAATATGGAGTGGCAAAATGAGTCTTCTGCATTTGCCTATTGTTACTCACTCTCTGACCTCTATGACTCTCTGTATTGCACTGCTGAATCCCAGATGTTAGGTGGCATTTTTTGCATGCAAATAAAGGCAGGAATACCTACACATGAAAAAATGCAAATAATCTCAAGAATGTTTACGTAAAGGGAAATTCTGGTATTTTCCAGTGTTTCTGAATTTCACATCTGTTGCCATTCTGATTTGAGTCAAGACTTTCTAAAGTCTACACAACACAGGATGGGTTCCAGCAGTGTTTGTCAGTCGTCCATCTCATTTGCATCTGAGGAAAAGATATGCCTCTATTTCAATTAGAGGTCCACCGATCCAATGTGCCAGATCGGTGACTTTGTTAAGCCAGACCTGACCTATCGTCTATTTAATCCAATTTCTCAGTCACAGTCATTAAAAAAACCCACTATGTCTGCTATAAAAGAGATGCATTAGGTCACAGCAGCCGGTGAGTAAACAAAATGTCACTTTGCTCTCGCCACCTTTGTTGTAGACATTTAAAAAAGCACAACTCCGGCAAAAAAAAACTATTTTGGGGATGCAGAGCGAGACTCCTAAAGGGTCAAACATAAACCTCAGTTTTACAGAAATAATTCTGAATGCTTGTCCCTGACTCCGTCTGATATTAAACATACATATTCGATTCTGGAAGTCACTGCATGACGTATAATGTATATTTCTAAAGCAGGCCAATCATGAATGCTTTTTAGAAAGGGGATCGCCTTTACTGTACTGTGAGTTACAAAGTCAACACAAAACCACCACTGAACAGCTTAATAGGGCCTTTATTTTAATGTGTGTGTATTTGAGACAGAGAGAGATGGAAAGTGAAACGTGACCTTTGTCATAAAGATGCCCAGACAACAAAGTTTTATAACTGGTTCTCAATGAGAAAAAAAACAAAAACACACACACACACACTTACGCCTAAAGTACCAGTGTTGGACCAGAAACATGGCTCACTATAGTTCTGCTGTTGTAGAGAAGATACGGCTCAAACAGGAAATGTGGATTTAGAGAGAAAACTCACTAAACATCCAGTAGCACTGTACTCCATGCACGGACATAAAAGAGAATATGCCCCATTTGCAATGACTGCATGAATTAGGAGGAGGCAAATAGCTGGAGAATGTACACAAATTAGATTAGACAAACTTACCCTAGAGTCGCAAGGCAATGTCATGCTAGTTTTCTCACAGCAGTTATGTTTTCTGTGGATTTTCACGCAGCACTTGAGGGATACCCCAATGGAAACAGCGATGACAAAATGAGCCGCTGTGAGCTTTGACATCAAATAAAGCAGATTTAATGAATGAGGCTACACCTACATGTGTTATTAGACCCAGTTTCACATAGTTATATCTTGTGCCAGAAGCTTGAACTAAATTCCCATCAAACGAGCACAACCCATTTGCAAACCAAGAGTGAGTGAGGCTCATGAGACGAGGCTCACGTCACAACAGAGGATCAAAACTAAGGGGTAAAAAAATGTGAGAAATGACTCTGGCATTGAGGGAATATATAAATAAAGGAGTCATCAATAAGCATCTTAGCATGTGTGAATAATGCATGTGGCCATTTCCCGTAGCCAGAGGCAGGAGATATTATTACACCATCAGATCAACTAGCCAAGGTAATACGTTGGAGAGAAGAGGGAGGTAGAGAAGGCTGGGGATATTACAGTATGCAATCCTCAACCTCCTAATGCCCCAACTCACACTAAAGACACACACACACACACACACACACTTCATTGAGAGTATAGAGAATGAAAATGTAGCTAAACATTTTGTCTCACTCACTCACTTCAGCTGTTGACATGTGGTCCGTACAAAGCATAGTGCAATGCCGAGAGTGTCACCGGGGTTCATGTCTCCATCTCCTCTTTTAAAGGAAGCCATGATCCTGTCCTAATCCGTCTACTAAAACGGTGCCACTCGTTTGGCCGAACTCTGGATTATTTCATGGCTTTGACAACTCTCCAGGAAAAACACACACATTAAGCCTCCAGTGACACCACTGCTGCTGACATACTGACTGTTTAGAACTGATTACATACACAGTAAATGGGTTTTAATATGGCTACATGATTTGGAATCTTACCAAATTGAGGTGTTCATAGAAAAAGTTTTTGTTTATCATTCTCTACAAAAATACTATGCAAAGCAAAGCCTGCACTACATACTGTAGTTTGGTTCATCTTCCTCAGCCAGTGTTAATTTTGATTTAGCTTTAGTCTCAGTGTTTTGATGAAAATATATCCTAGTTTTAATCAAGTTCGTGTTTGTTGGAAACTTTGTCAACAAATATTTTTCATTACTGTTAATAAAATGTACACAGAGCGGCGCATCTTGATATATTAATGTGCCGTGCTTGGTGCAAGACACATGGAACTGCACTTTCTTTTATGGCAGGGCCCCTCACACTGGTAACACAAGCCACATTGAGCCCTGCATCTGAGAGCAATACAGAGGGAGAGAGAAAAAAATATGAGGAAAAGTAGAGTGAACAGGGGCCAGAGATGGGAGACATTTATTCACCTTGAATGACTTCCAGAGAAGAAAAAAAAGAATGATGGAAGATGAAGAAAAGAAAGCAGGTTCCTCCATATTTAAGTTGTTATGGCTGACCTTTTAAACACAATAGACAGCGAAACAAAGAGAGCCGGACAATAAGAGGAAACAATTTCCTTCAAAACAAACTCCCCAAGACATTCACAGAGTAAACTCTGATCTGTAACAGCTCCCTTGGACTTGCTGTCTAGCAACCAAAAGGTCTTGTTTGTTTAGGGGTCAAGTTGATGGTTCAGACATTCCTTAAGTGTTACAAATCAGTCTCAGGGCTCAGAATCAGATTTTTATGCCTCCTGCATAAGATGTTGGGAAATATGGCTGATCAGTGATGTCACTTTTGCACCCTCTGAAAAGAGAGAAAAGGAGAAGGAAAGATGGAGGTAGGGAGGGGGAATTCAGTAACACGAGAGGTTAAAGGGCGCTGACTGCAGCA